TACTGAGAGCTTTGGACGCTCGTCTCCCGGCTTGGCAAGAGCCGCAGGCTGAGCAGAGGGACGAGCGATGTGCTGGTCCAGGGAGCTGTCATCCAGACCGATGGCCAGAGAGAGCTGCAGCTGCGGGTGGTCACCCTGGGCAGCAGACCTGCTGCCTGCCTTGGGCAGAGTCTCCTTTGCTCCCAGGCGCTCCTTCGTTGGCTTGTGGGCAGTTGAGATCTGGATTCCATACAAGTTTGAAGACTGGACCGGCTCTGGGGAGAAAACCTGGTTCATCTCAATCGCGATGTGGGAGAGGTGGTCTGCGTGGAGAAAGCGGATGCCCTCCTCCAGCCGGCTCTGGCTGACAGTCTGCTTTGGCCCTTTCCCAGTGTACATGATATGCAACAAGTAACTAAATATGTCAGGCTGGATGTCTGTCGGCTGAATCTTTATGCATTCGCTGAAACGAGACAGATGATTGAGTACATAGAGAGCTCCAATTCACTGTCCTGATCCATTACCTGCCCGTTCATTTGCGCTGCCGTTTGCTGTCAGAGAGCTCGCGCTGCTGCCTGCCACCCGGATCCCCAGCGGCTCTCCCCGCCAGGACCTGCAGAATCGCATATGCCCTGCTCGCACAGCAAAGTGCCCAAGTGTGTGTTTATCCCTGTGATTATAAAGACCATGCGCACAACAGCAGCCGGAGATGGAGCCAGTGGCAGTTGATTGGTGCCGTGCGGCACCGCAGCAGGGCCATGCAAGCTCCGCATCACCCACGTGTGCCACTCCAATAATAAGAGGCACAGAATATCTGTGTGCTTAAGTTATACACTCAGCTGCTGCCGCTACTGTGTAATCTTTATGAGCACTTAAGTGTCAGTAAACAACATCTATTGGAAAGGAAGTCTTCCAGCCGAAGGGCTACCCAGCCAATGGCTAATGATTATCTTGCAAAGGTGCTGGGGGCCACGACCCTCAAAAAGGAAGGGGAAGAGAGAAGGGTTTAATCAATTACAAGCAGCAAGCTCCAGGTCAGAGGTGAGATTAGACCTCGGCACCGTCGTTGTTATACCTGCAGAACCACTCCTGACCCATCTGGGTGAAGTGTCAGAACAGCAGCTTGAAATAAATTGATGATCCCAGTCTCGGCCCTTATCTGCCTGAGTCTGAAGCGCAGAACTGCCACAAGACGACTGCTTCTCAATTGCTTCAGGCCCAAAGATCCTGTCAGAAGGGACGGTCCCACCCAGCAAGCTTCCCTGCAAGCTAACGCGAAGTAATGGACATGCTGCGTATGGACAGGAGATGCCTGAATAACCCTAGACGGCAAATCTGTGAGGTTCTCACTGCAGGAGGACTGTGGTACTTACATGTTTATTTTCTCTGGTCACACAAATGTCTCATCTGCAAAATGTGGGGCCTGATGTTGCCGTATGCTGACTAAGAGGGTGGTTTTAAAGTACAGCACATTCTGGACTGGGAATGTTCAGAGAGCCAAGATGTGTGCTGGGTTAGGAAAACAACCTCAGGCCATCTAATATCCCCATTTTAGACTTTAATATCTTTAGAAAGAGGGAAAAAGCAAGCAGCAGAGCAGAGTGGTTAAAAGGCAAGAGGAGAGTTGTGTGCCCTTACCTCGTCTGATGAATAAATATCATCTTAAAATAGTTTGAAAAAGCGGCGAGCACCGCTCTGTGGGCTTTGAAGTAAACATCTCCAATGGCAACTGTGCAGTCACACAGAAAACCGAACTCCCGCTGCATGTTCAGCTGCTGGAGGAGGAGGACGCTGTGGCCGGTTGTGTCCATGGCGTGCCTGGGAGCAAGAGAACAAGACATTCATCTCGGAAAGAAATCGCAGAGCTCCCGAAGCCTGGGGTGGGGATGTCTCAGCCCGAAACGCGATGGGCGCCCAGCACGCAACACGGCCTCGCAGAGCCTCCTCCCTCCCCTAGAGCGTCCCTGCACCCCGATTTAACAATTTCTCCTCCCGCCCGTGCCCGAATCCCAGGACCCCACCCGGGACTTTTC